CCCCAGTCCCACCGACACTGGATGACTGACGGGTGATCTGTGGCGCTTTAGCCGCCTGCGTGTTGTTCTGAAACACCACCGTCCTCCCATCCCAGAGATAACGATGTTGATCAAAATTAGAAGTCAAACACAGGTCTGAATAAACTACGCCGTTTCCCGTCGCTGAAATGAGCCAAGAGGTAGAAAGACGAGCCAGGGAAAGGACAGCAGGTCGGTTCTCACACTGCTCAGAGCTTCAGTCAGTCAGCTGGCTGAGTCAGAGAGCTCCAAAGGGTTTTCACAAAGCAGGAAATATGCACAGATAAAGACACGTTTTGACATCCTGAACTAAAATCTGAGAGCAACAAGCAGTGAAACATGCGCTTCTTTAACGGATAAATGTCTTTCTGTAATAGTTACTAGTTCTACCACTTGTGTGTTTTCATTTTCAGACTTTTAGTTTCTGTTGCTTATTATTGGCAGAATTTAACATGAAAGGGGCTTTAATGCAATTAGAAGTTTCCCTGTAGACAATGTTCTCCTCAAAAATAAGAAATCATGTGCAGAAAACATGCTGCTATTGTAAAAGTACAAAGTTCAGATGTGAGGTTTGAATTTTAAAACATTTTAACGGGACATCAGACTCCTGCTGCTCTGTTTTTGAACATTCACACCAGCCTGTCACCAGTGGACGTGTGAAAGGATGAACCAGAGACTATTGTAAGACATACAAAAACCTGTGTATAGCTCTTATGGATTAAAGCAGCCTGACCATCATCCCCTCAGAATATGGTTACAGTTAGTTAACGGTTGCCTGTTTGCTCACCCAGTTTAAGATTCTGTCTTTTTGCTGTGCTTCACTCTGAGGGTAATGTTGAACTTTTTAACTTCTAAATACTTGAGTGTGTTCACCAGCTAGTTGCTCGCTGCTGTCTGATGCTGATCCTACACAGTGGATTTATATATAAATGTATTTATTTTCCTGAGAACAGCTGCTTACTGTTGCTGGAATGGAGGTTCATGTGTGTGTGTGTGTGTGTGTGTGTGAAACTGAACCAAAGTCATGGCCTGTGGAACCACAACAACATGCTGACAACAGTTTGTCCAGCAGAGGGGAGTTTGGTGGTGATTTCTGGGTTGTATCACTGTGAATGACATCTTTCACATTGTCCATTGTCCATTGTTAATATAAAAATACCAGTAAGAGCAGCTTTTACAAAAATAATCCTCTGAAGAAGGAAACGAAGCAGAAAAACAGGGTGTACTGTAAGTTGATTTGACAGACTACAGATGGTTGGTGTGTGTGTGTGTGTGTGTGTGTGTGTGTGTGCGTCTAAGTGTGTTTTTCAGGAGGCTGTGTAGAGAGGAATGTGTGGGTGAGGTAAAAACAGCCTTGGTGCTGATAAGAGCGGATCAGCGGTGCTGTGCCCTGCTAAGAAACAGATACATCAGTGACAGCCGGGGTCGGGGGTCACACCAAAACCAGACGGCACACCTGGGGGGAGAGTGTGTGAGGCAACGAGTGGACAGAGAACCCGAGAAACTGATTCTGAAAACATCTCTGAAGCGATGGGGAAACACTGCCGGCTTCACACGGGAAAGTGTTAAAAAAGTCAAGAAAAAACTGAAATATCCTAATTCAAATAAACGACTTCATTTTATGGACATTTTTAGAACATGTTTTGCAGAGAAACTGGTTTTTTATCTGCGTTACTATGTTTAGACACTTTTCACAAGATGCTCACGATTGTTCACCAGTCGTATTCTCTAAGACAGATCACCACGACTGATTCTAATGCACGTTTGTTGGGTTTGTCCAGGTAAAAATGTTCAATATAAACCAGTTCTATACAAATAAATCTGCAAAGCCCGCCAGGAGGAATGGAAAAACTAAAAGTCGTCTTTCTCTGTTGTGGACTGAAACATTCAGTGGAGAGAAGAGCTAAACCTTGAGAAAGTTATTGTTTTAACTACATTTTGCATATAATTTAAGAAAGCAGGAAAAAAAAATACAGTCTTCTAAATGATACAGAAAACTTTGTTTAAAAAACAGAAATAAATGTAATTTGCCATTGTGAGCCTAACACTTAAAACAAAAGAAAAAAAGATAACTACTGGGAAAAAACTAATTATTTTCTGTTTTAAAAAATGCACCAAAGTCCATCAGCTGTATTGCCCTTATGTGCTGTCATGCTGAGGGGAAATCTAGCCATAAGAACAGCTGTTACTGATATGTGTAGCATTACTGGCCATAAGAAACCAGGACAGCCACGGTACTTGTTGGATGGACACTGCCGCAGGTGAACAGACTGATCATGAGTGTTTGTGGTGAGCTGGAGGAGGCAGCAGGTGGACTGTCTCTGCTATCAAACAGCATATTTGCACTCTGCTCAGTCACAGAAGCTCCTCTGGCTGGAGAACTGTGACACGCTGCCTCTCAGTAACCGTGTTGAGGCAGCAGGCCGGCGGCTGATAAGTGATGTGTGTGTGTTGAAGCTGTAGGCAGGATGGGCTGAGCTCCACCAGCCTCCACCTGAACCCGACACAGGCCTTATCTGCTGCTTTTGGTCGGTTCGCTAGCTGTCCATCATAGCTGCTGAACATTTGGTTCAGCTGCATGAACTTTTGTTGCCTTCAGCTTTTTAGGGATTATTTTAAACCAGCTAAAGAAGAGTAGTTGTGAAATTACACCTTGTATAGTTGCTAACAAGAGAACTTGTGACTAGACTAGATTTCAATAATTTTATTAATTTTCCAGACCTGGCATAAATAAAGTATTTTTCTATTCTATTCTATTCTATTCTATTCTATTCTATTCTATTCTATTCTATTCTATTCTATTCTATTCTATTAGTTGCCTAAAATCACATTAGAGAGACAAAACCAGGTTCACCATTTTCCTCTGTGACCCTATCAACCCCAACTATGAATATACATTAGCATGAACACACACACTGTCATTTATTTGGACTTAATCCCACTCACACACATACTCTAAATATTCAACAGGATTCAAATATGGATTATTTTTTTGCTGTGAAAGATAATCCCTATCAAATTCATTATTTCTTTATTCATTAAAATTAAACCATCTATATATAACTCACTAAATTAATTGTATATATGGGTTGTTTTCAAATATTTATATCCCCAGTAGGGAAAAGTGGGTTTCTAGCTACAGAGAGGGTAAAGAGGTCTGGAAGTATTGAGAGAAGGAAGAACACCTTGTTAACTTATGTCTCTTCTGTACAGGATTAGGGCCATTGTAAAAATAAAATCAAATAAAATAAATAAGAATTGAGTTTAGTTTTTCAAACATTTTTTCTTAGAATTTTGCCCATTAAAAAATAAAATAAAATAAAATAAAATAAAATAAAATAAAATAAAATAAATAAATATAATAATAATAATAACAATAATAATAATGATAATAATAATGATAATAATAATAATCTAAAATATGACGTAAAACTAAGAATTCTGTCCGTTTAAAGTCTGTGAGTTTAGAGTCCTGAGCTTTTTCTCAGTATTCTGACTTTTGTTAATTTGAGGAGGAAAAAAAGTCAGAAAAAATGTCAGAATTCTGACTTTAGTGTGAATATTGTGAAAAAAAAAAGAAGCTCGAATTCAAATAAATTCTTCATGGTGGCCTTAGTCCTCCTTTGAACTAATGAGATTTACTGACAGTAAGAAAACATAAAATAGTCCTTTAAAAGTCAACAGGACATCACATCTATCAGCAAAAATAACCAAAAAATGCCAGACTGACAAACATGACATGTAAATGAAGGATTTGACAGGAGCTGATGTGTTTCCCTCAGTTCACTGTGAAATACAAAATACTTTGAGGTCATCCTCCATCAGGTAGATTATTACTGCCCAAACTGTCTCAGAGTCAAATATTTAAGTATCTCTCATGGAGAGTTCAGCTCCACATCAGCAGATTTCATGACACTTCTTTCCATGAGCTGGGGTGAATACTGGTGCTTTGAATCTTGTCATCTCAGAGATTACACCACATCTGTGAAAGAGGTGAGACCAGATTGAAACAAGAGCTCTATCTCAGAACTCGCTGCATGTATGAAACACTCATGCAAATATCAAATCCATCAAATTAGTGATGAAACAGTAAACACCAGGTGATCAATGTGATAGATGCTGAGATTCACGTCTATTTTCATGCTCTACTGCAATCAAAGAAAGCAACGGATGCTTTGAAATTAGGACAGACACACATATTCACAGTGATCTTCTGAGGAGGCATTACATAGTTTGTATGTTCTTTGGTGTCATGACACATGTATGCTGAAAACCCACTGGCTGTGGGTGGATAACACCATTGTTTTGTGGCCGTGGAGTCCAGTGAGGATTGTTCACAGTGGCACTCAGAACAGGCCACGGTGACGGGCGTGGTGCCTCCAAGTTTATTGTGTGCAGCATCCTGTCCTGGTCACTATTAATAGAGAAACGGGACAAGATGGAGCGCTGCGGCCGACGCTTACATCTGTCCGACCAGCAGGAAGTCCAGGAGCAGAGGTCAGACGCCACGGTGCTCCTGGCTTTGGTATCAGTAATTTAATAGTAAGAACGGGTCGAATAACTTTGGAGTATGTGAAAGGGGCTGCTTGTAGGGACAAACTCACCAAATGTGCAGTTTTAGTGTCTTTATGCTGAATGTTTGGATGCAGTTTTAACACACACACACACACACACACACACACACACACATGCACGCACACACAAAACTTGACTAAAGCCAGAGTATGTCCAGCAATAAGTAGCAGGCAGAGACTGGGGGAAAACTACCTGGTGAACAAAGTTGACAAACTCACGCTGAACGTCTACGTTGCTGTGGTTGTTGGTAGCTGTTCTCTGATAATATGTTTGCACTGTCCTCAAGTGGCCACTAAAGAAATTGCTTCTCACAGATTTTAGTAGATCAACCGCAGCGTTTGCCATGAATTGGTCTGTTTGTTTTTGTCTGTGTGCTGACAGTAACGGTTCGTGTCTTTTTTCTTTAGGCTGCCTCCTTCACACTGTTTGCTCAGACGGTGATGCTGCTGCGACGGAGAAAGCTCCCAACCCTGCCGCTGCTGACCTGTCTGTGGTAACTGCAACTACAACTGTGGTGACTCCTGAAAGTAAGACTAATCCTGCCACAACTGTCACAACTGCAGCACCAACAACTGATGGAAAGAAAAGCATCCCTACACAAGAACCTTCACAGATATCTGTTGTGAAAACTGAAGCCACGGCCACAGCCTCTACTGTGCTCAAAACAGATGTTAGTCAGCCACAAGCAACAACTACCAAAAACATCCCATCAACACCAATGACCGCTTCTGCAAGGCCTCCTTCTGTGGAGACCATGACTCCTACTGCTCATACCAATGTGTTGTCCACGGCCATGACACCACCTGCAGCAACTGGCAGAACCCCCAGCTCCAGGACGAGCCCCGGGGCCACCACAGCACCGACAACTGCAGCTTCCACACCCAGTCAAGTCTCTGGGACACCCAGCAGCCTACCAGGGAATCCTGTCAGTGGAGACCCAACCGGGACCACAGTGGTACCAGCGGTGGGCTCGACTTCTGTAGTAAAGCAAGTGTCCACCACTTCATCAGTGAGCAACAAAGGTAAGAACTGTTCGTTATCCGCTTCATCCACTGACAACAAGACACGATTAACCTGATGTGGACCTAATGGCTGAGGATACATTTAGAATCTTAACAGGCAAAGACTTACCTACAGCTGAAATGTTAGAAATTACGTTTTATTAGATTGATTAAGCAATATAATGAAACAGGCAATTTGTTGTCCAGCAGCCCTTGTCCAATTTCAAAAAAGGACAGAGGAATCAAGCACTGTTAAAAACTTCAAGTCCCAGATCTGAGTCACTGAATAATAAATATCTACCGATACTTGATATCATGTTCCTTGATAATACACACTTCATGCATTGTAGATTAACCGTAGTACCTTGTTGAGCCACTACATGGAGCCTCGTACTGTTTAACCCTGTAGCAAATAGCCAAGGTGGGCGGTGCAATGTGGGGGTTTAGCGAGTGAAAGGGAACCGTGATAACGTCTACTTTAGTGCTTAATGACATCTGGATAGTGCATGTGTTGAATCAAGCCAGTGTGGCAAGTTAGGAGAGAAGGATAAGGGAGCTGGGTGGAGCTGTACCAGTATCAAATAAACCCCACATCGCCACCTGGGGACTCACCCAGGAACTACACTGTTAAATTTAAACTACCACCAGTCATACACAGGTCACACAAGTTCGTTAGCTGAGAGGAGACAGACGTGGTTCAAATCAAAAGAAAGCACATTTATTGGAAAATCGGTAAATGGTAAATATATAACACTTTCGTACACCAGTGGTGACAGAGCTGCCATGTAAGGTGCTGCCTGCCATTGGGAGCAACTTCAAGTTCAGTGTCTTGTCCAAGGACACTTGGACTGTGGAGGAGCGGGGGATCGAACTGCCAACCTTGTAATTAGAGGACAATCACCTGACCCACAGCTGCAGCTGGATTTCTGGAGGGCCTGCAGAAAAAGTAACCTAAAACAAATACAAATAAGTTACCCTTTTACAAATAATAAACCAAATCAGAACAATAAAAGTAGCCCAGGAAGAGGGAAGTGGATGAAAGCCAGCAGGGGGGAGGTGGCCAGTTATTTAAGTGTCCAAGGAGGGAAACAAACCACCAACCAGTGGTAAGCTCAAGGCAAAACAGCAGCTGATTAAGCCCTGCAACACAACAACACACATTACAGGTTAATAACAGGCTTATAACATGGTTATAACACGTAATAACAAACTAGCTTTAACTGTCACATTCTTGTAAACTGCTGCACAAAATATGCCACACCTTGGTGTAATTGTCTTTGTTATGCAGACTTGAGGGGACTTAGCAGCCTCCACATTACGCCAAGACAGGCACACTTGGCATCACAAACCTCCGCCAAACACACACCGATATGAGGCAAACAGGAGACTGTCAAGTGAACGCATGTCATCATCCTGTGCATGTGAATGAATACACTTTGAAACAGTCAAAACCCTTCCAACAATCCTGATTACAACACCGACCTCAGAGTCACGAGGAGCCCATGTGCCACTCAAGCAGAGACCAAAGGCAGCCATGATGCCACAGGTGCTTTAAATACCCTCAGTCAGGAGCGGGGGGCCATGGGAGGAGTCGACCGAATTCTCTGATGGTGTGTTCAAGAGCTATCTGGAAATATCAAATTTGCCAGGACACAACGCTGCACGAGGATCAAATAGAACAGAAGTCTCTTATCAGAGTGCTTTGAGCAACACGGTCCTCTGAAGCCATGTTCTGTCTGTGGATCAGAATCAGCACAGGAGTGATACTGATTTGTTATTATGATTTCATTGATTATTGATAGAAAATGCTGCATTCAAATATACTAAAACTCAGCTACTAACACTCATGTGACAGAAGATCTAAACAAAGGCACTGATCAGTGAAGTGAGCCATCACTGACACATCAGCAGCTCAGCTCTGATGACGTACTGCCACTGACTCACTCACTGATGTCTCTGTCAATTCTGCACTCACACCTCTACTTTGCCAGTAATAAGCTGGAGCATAGAATGTTGGGTAAATTGACCCATTGGCTTTAATTACTTCAATGATCATTTTTGTTTACTATGTAGTGGCAATTCACAGCATACGTCATCTAAACGTACGTCAACATGTCACCTCACAGCACAGGAGACGGGCCGCCAACATGGTTTGTAAAGAGAGATCTCCGGTGACTCTACATGATGAAGATCTGTTTGTTTTCCATTAGGGGCAGTGCAGCGTCTGTTAAAAGTTTGTATTATGTTTCTGTAATGGATGCACTTTACCATATGGTCAGTGGTCTGCTCTTACCATCGACTGTATAAAAGATGGACGTAGCTACCGTGACGTCACCCGTTGGTTTCTGCACTGAGAACATGAAGCCAGGGTTTTGCTACTTCCTGGTTGACATCTTGGATTTTTGGAGCCAGTGAC